GGGTTGGGTTAGAGATAGATTCACTTGTGCTATTGACACAGCGCGTACTAAAAGAAAGACTTTATTTTTGGTTCTATTTACTAACTCAGTGGTTCTTTTGCCTGTGTCTTTTGATGAAGCAGCCATCATTTCTAGAGTTTCCTACTCCTCACTTCTCTCAAACGTCGATGGATCAGCCATCCGTCTTGGGTCGGATTACTAGCTCACCTGTCAGACTATGTCGAGTCAGCATTAATGCTATCTTTATTATTTCGAGCCTTGGATCGAGTCGAGTAACTGTGCTTATGGGAATCCGCACGAGCACGAACACGAGAACGAGCATGAGCCTGACAGGATTCACAGTAGAAAGAGGTCTTGACTGACTTGTTGCAAGCAGAGGTTTGGCACTGTTGCTTGATCTTATGGGTGCCGCGGGACATGGCGATGAGAGTGAAGCAAGCCTCGATAGTTGCAGCGTCGGCGGACATGTTGATGAGGTCTTCTTGCTTGATGGTTTTCGCTTTAGCGATGGGTTTGGTCTTGTTTTCCTGGGTGGAAGGCATGATGTCAGTTGGTTAGTTAGATTACCTTGCTTTGGGATCTGTATATTGAAGCGCCAGATTCTTGGGATGGTTGAAAGTGTTAGGAGGGAAAGATCTTCAATTTGTAGCATTCTGAGATGATGCTGGCTGAACATGTAAGTGAATAAGTGTGCCGGATGACAACTATGTTCGATGTTCTGCCAATGTAGTATTGATGCTCACGGTTTAAGGCATTGTGACGCTGAGTGAACAATACGACTTTTTCACGTCTGCCGCAATTTTGTATTTAAAATATTGCTGTTGTTCATATGTCTAATACCCGAACATCCCATTGTTGGCCCTTCATGAATCCGTTAATGTTCATCCCTGGACAATGTTACTTACTCATCTATCCCAGAATCTGCAACGCTTTTGGCCATGAGCAAGCAGGGCGGATATTATCAAACCCAAGCCCGAAGATAGGTATATATACAAATGTGTATGAGAGTTTCATGTTAAGCCGTACTGTTATTATAGTAACAAGAACCTATTGATTCATTTCTCATGTTGCTATTCCCATGTGTGCGACCTCAGTAAAAGATATTCTAAACTTATCCTAAAGATACCCTAAATTGAGACTAAATTACCTAAGTCTTTTCATTATACAGTCAAGGTCCTTACTTTTCTTCCCCTCCTAGCCTGTCCTTCATTTTACTCTGTTCATCACCTCACTCAACACACAGCACCATCTGCATCCTGTCAATATGCGACGCTTTACCATCAGTGTGTCGCACTGCAGGCGCGAAGACGATAATTGTTTCCCCCCCGCTTAATGATTCTTTCTCAAGACTATCGTACTCCAATATTTGCAGGAGGATGCCGCCCACCATGTCATCGCAAGCGGCTGTCAAAGCAGAGGATTTTGACTTCCCATCAGACGAGCCCACTGTTGTTGGGCCTAACGAATCAGATATTGCTACGACTCAGCATGGTGAGCAAATGAATGCCGAGGCCCCTGGTCGAAGGCGGTTTGGTAACTATCACCTGTGGAGCACGTCTGATGGTCCGAAGAACGCATCTTACAACATCGAAGATCCCAGAAAGACGTATGCCCGCGCCCTATCGAAAGCGAAATCACGCCACACGGCAAGGCCGACCAATATCTTGAAGTCTGACTGGTCATTGGCGAAGAAGCTGGCAAATACAAGCCGACTGGGTTATCGCGAAATAAAGAACGACAAGCAGAACAAGCAGCCAGGGGAGTTTTGGACCGCAGTCAGAACGTAATGCGAGTCTTCATTCGCATCAGCGAGTACATCCGGCCACAGACAAAGTTGTCCCGTTGGCTGTAGACTCAGAGATGGACACTTGCATGCTGTCAAGATAACCAAGAATTCGATCTTCTATTACCATGATCCAGTGTGGTCATGACATCTCGAAGATGAAGACAAAGACGCGAGACAGCATCGCGAACAAGGCATGCAGGTTCTATGCCGCGACAATCCGGGATATGCCTCCAAGGTCATTGCCATGGAGCCAAGGAGAGCGAAAAGAAAAAAACAGCAGACCTTAGTAAAGGTACCCTAAGCTTATCCTAAATCTATCCTAAACTTATACTAACTTTATACTAAGTTACCTAAATCTTTTTATTATTTAGGATCATGGTGCCAAGTTCTCTTTCTTCCCCCAACGCGGATAGGCACAATCTCCCTCGTCAATACGCATGCCGGCGATATCTTGACGATAACATCAATCAATTATCGCCTCTGGAAAGGAACCGACGACGTCAGGTATCTGGACTCCATGTTGGACTCATTTACCCAGTTCAATGCAAACAGACTTTACTCCCCTCAGCACAACGATGAAGGCGACGCTGCCTTCTTTCACGACAAGATGACAGAACCACTCTCAGACGAAACCATGTCGAGCCTGGTTACCGAGCTCAAGGTGAGTGCTCCTCCTTATTCAGTAATTATACATATGTGACTAAATCTGTACACAGAACGCCAGCCAGCCCTACGTACACAGACCTGAGCAAGGAGGTCGTGCAAGCTGTTCGTCGAGTTCTTTGTACTGAGGAAAACAGACGATTCGCCAATGCTAGCAAGCCTCCCACGATCGTCTTTTCCTCTTCCTCGAAACTGCCAGTTGTAGATCAAACTAATGGCGATGATCAACACCAAGGCCCGAGCTATCTTCACGTCAACGCAGGTGCATGCCAACCACATGACTTGCACCCCAGAAACTGCTTCAACTGTGCATTGTGCCTTGTCCGATGTCGACATTCCGGGGAGTGAAGATAGGAGGAACCAAGTACAAACAAGGAGCTACCGGACTGGTTAGCGGTATGCGAGCATCTACGAACGATCCAGTCTTCATCACGTGCTCACGCCGATGAGATGACCGAGAAACATGGGCTCGTTCTATCGAAATCCATCGACGATGTAATAGCACAATTCAACAATGTGATCGATGTCAGCGCTCTCCGCGCCGGTTTGGAACAGCTGGCTTCAATCCACGCATGTTTACTCGCCAGTAACAAGGCATCCCTTTCCCGGCAACTGGACTCCGCTATATTCGGCATGAAGAAGGGGATTCTCTGGCTGGAGCAGATGGCTGAATAGGTTTCACATAGGGTTAAACGGGAATACATATGTTATGAGAATAAAGGTCCAATGGATGAATGCCATCAGCTTTCATCTTGATTGTATGTGACCAGCTATTCCACGAGTGATAACATTCAAGGAATGGAATATCCCACCTGACTAGAGTCCATGGAAATGCGCACAATTCCCTTGCTCTGTCCGGATCCCTTGCATGCAGGATATAGTCACGTGAGGATCAAGGACATCACATAACATCACGATACACGAGAGGTTATGAATACATGATGTGCTGTCAAGGTTTTGTGATGCTGAGTGAATAATCTCCAAGATAATTCTCGTATGAGTGACAAGTCTAGAACACTTGTCGAACATGGTCAGGGGAGTGAATAAACTTTAACTCGCAGCCTTCTGATACAACCTCACTCCAATCAACGATTCACCACCCTCAAGGAGCAGGAAAACATCAGACCTTGACATAAGGTGTCAAAATAAACTGAGCAAAGATATCCTGAACTTATACTAAATTAACCCAAGTCTTTTTGTCATTTGTGATCAAGACCTCGAGATTTTGTTCCTCCCCTAGACCATGTCAAACCCTCAGGTCCCCTTGTCTCACCTCACCTCCCATCCTGAGACACAGCACTTTAACAAACTTCCTCACAACCAACAGAGTAATGCGATTGGCCATCTCAAGTAGATTACCATTCGGCATGTGGGTTAGCCCAAACCGAGAAGTCTATTTACAAGGAAAATAAGTCCGATGATAGACATGAAAATAGCCTGAATCAGAAGGTCTTTATGCACGTAAGTTGCGTGCGTATCACGAGCGGAGGTTTTAGCTCTTTGTGTTTCATTACACGTCGTTCTGCCCCGCGTTCTCTTTCTTGGGGATTGGGACTGAGGAAATCAAGGAGGAGATTGTAATTTAACTAAAAAGAGAACTTGTCGGGGACTTGCCGAGGGAGAGTGCCGTTGGGAATTGACGCTATTGCCAGCCACGTTCGGCAGATGAATCCTTGTGAATTGGAGTAATTGCTTGATATGCATAAACAACATCACTCAAGCAATGCTTACTACGTGCCTCTACTCATCAAAGCTCAAGAGATCAAAGCTTATCTCAGTAACATCTTCTAGAAGTATCACTCAATCACTCAATGCATCGTCAACCCTCCCACTCGGTCCATCATTGCAATCACCATGGGATGGCTCAAAAACCTGAATCATGTCCCCGACCAAAAACAACCATAAACCATGCTTATCACTCCATCTACTAAACCCCTTCCAGACTCCTACTCCCCTTCCCCCGCAAATCCCCAGATTCTTCTCCAACAAAGATACTGAAGCTACTGGAGTCTTTTCCTCATGAGGTTACAGCGCAGGAGAACCGTGATGCCACACTTTCTATGACGGTCAGTGTGTTACGCCCGCCCCCTTGCTCGAGGCGATAAAATGAAAACTGTAAATAAGCTTGCTCGGTCACCTTTTCGCCTTTCTCGAAATCGTAATCTTCTCTTTTTCTCGTAATATTCTCAAAATGGGCGCCAAAAAGTTCTTCAAGGAGAGATCACTCAAGGTCTCGGATAAGAAAGTCACCAAAGCAGCGGAACTCACCCTGCGAGAATCCATCTGGCCTATCGCGCTGGTCACTGTTCTCTTCTTCCTCTGGGGTTTTAGTTATGGACTCCTTGATACGCTGAACAAGCACTTTCAAAAGGTGCTGCATATCGATCGTGCGCGATCGGCAGGTCTTCAGGCTGCGTACTTTGGGTATGTATACCAACATCGACGGGGTGTTGTAGTAGAGCTGATGATCGTTTCAGTGCTTATCCTCTTGCGTCGCTGGGACACGCTGCGTGGATCCTTCGTCATTATTCGTACAAGGCTGTGTTCATCTGGGGTCTTTGCTTGTATGCTGTTGGCGCGCTGATTGCTATTCCGTGTATCAAGGCAAAGTCATTTGCTGGGTTTTGCATGTCCATCTTCATTATCGGAAACGGACTTGGTTCTCTTGAGACTGCTGCTAACCCATTCATCACTGGTATGTTGACTCGTTCTCAGTTGATGTTCACCTCTAACGTCTTTAGTTTGCGGTCCTCCTCGATATTCGGAAATTCGCATCAACATCTCCCAAGCCTTCAACGGTATCGGCACTGTCATTGCTCCCGTTCTCGGCTCATATGTCTTCTTCAACAATCTCGATGATAACGCAGCGCTCGCCAACGTGCAATGGGTTTACCTCTCCATCGCCGTCTTCGTCTTGATTCTGGCGTGTCTCTTCTACGTCTCCAAGATTCCTGAAATCACCGACGCCGGTACGTTGAACCCACAGGAACGACACCACTATCACTAACAATTTTCAGATATGGCCTTGCAAGCTCAAGAGACACACTCGGAAGCCGATGACAAGCCCTTCTATAAGCAGTATAAGCTCTTCCATGCTTCGTTCGCTCAATTCTGTTATACTGGCGCGCAAGTTGCTATCGCGAGTTTCTTCATCAATTACGCGACTGAGATGCGTAAAGGAACGTCAGACTCAATGGGAGCTAAGCTCTTCGCTGGCGCACAAGCAGCCTTTACCGTGGGCCGTTTCTTCGGAACGTTTCTCATGAAGTTCTGCAAACCGCGAAAGGTCTTCTTCGTGTTCTTGACAATGTGCATTGTCTTTATCGGACCGCCTATCGTCCACCACGGAACAGCTGGTGTATCATTCCTCTATATTGTTCTCTTTTTCGAGTCTATCTGCTTCCCTACCATTGTTGCTTTGGGTATGAGAGGCCTTGGTCGCCATACCAAGCGAGGAAGTGGTTTCATCATTGCCGGTGTTATTGGCGGTGCCTGTGTGCCTCCCCTGACAGGAGCTGTTGCAGATATGCATGACGTTGGTATCTCGATGGTTGTACCCATGATGTTCTTCGTTGCCGCATGGTCATACCCCACTGCTGTCAACTTTGTGCCCTCGTACAAGAAGGTCGTTGATGTTTTCTACGAGGCGGACATTGGCCTTGGAGAGCGAACCCTTGATGAGGAGAAGATTCAGGGCACACAGCACGAGGAGAAGGAAATGACTGCACGCGCTTAATGCATGTAATCTCTTTCAAAGTAGTGTAGTTAGTAGTCAGAATACCACGTTTTCAAAAAAGAAACAGTCACAAATGACGTAGAAACGGCAAAAGAATGCGTAATCTGGGAATCGAACCCAGGGCTCCCCGACGCTGCTCGAATGGCAACGGAGAATTTTACCACTAAACCAATTACGCTTGTGGTTTGTTGAAGAGTCGTGCGGTAATAGAGGTTATGTCTCGCGATGCCGGGTCTTGGTGGAGGTGCTGAAATTTCTTTGTGGGGCATCTGTGGGGTAACGACGTTGTGCTAGCGGAGCCAATCAGAGACAGACTGGCAACTCCAAAAACGGCAAGCTGTCACGTGGCCCATCCAAGCTCAATTGCTCACGTGTATCCGTACTCCGTGCCTAACTCTAGAGATCTTGCATGAATACTAAATATCTAGAAGAGAGTCTGACTGTCGGAGCCTGATACTTAATGGCTCAACTTCTGACTCAGATCCTCTCAGATCCAATACTTCAAGTCGAGAGTACCTGCAACTACAACCCCTGTAGTGACATACTCGCATCGTGCCGGTGAAACAGAACACGCAGTGACATATCAGCTACAAGAAACACAGACAGTCAAGCATTGAGTTACCGTTTCAAAAACTATAAGATCGTCGACAAAAGGTCGAAGCTTTACCGCGTATTGTACTGATCGTTTCACATTTATTTTTATCATCAACTCAGAATCCCGAGATCCTACCCTGTATCTCAACCGGGACGTTAACTGCCGATACCTTAATTCTAAGCTTATTATTTCCCGGTTTCATATCATGAGAAACATTCAGTATTTTACCAAATCGTTATTCAACACTCACTTAACCGTTAGAGATGAGCTATGTATAGCGTTGTGCTCTGTTTGTGAAGCAGCCATTGCTCCACGTTGACTCGCCTCAACTCCGTGAAGATCACGAGTGGGTCAAAGGCAACCTCTCTCTGAGCACTGATTTACATGTGCCGTGGCAAGGAAGAGCCTGGAATCAATAACATAGCCATCATCGACGATGGAAATCCCAGTTCCCGGCTTTACGCCAAGAGCGCCGTCTTATTGCCTCGTTGACACATGAGAACAAGTCCCCATAGCAATTGTCCCAAAAACCAACCTCACAGACCATATCCACGCGTGGGATATACTCTTTTCGGATACCGATAAAACCATCCGAGAATATCCTCTCTTTGCCTCTCTCTCCACCATGAAAACATGATGCAGCCCCAGTAGCCAATCTTGCATTGACGTCTCACACGTGTAGAGATCCTTTTCTCTCATTCGTCGTATTGAAAGCTTGGTTCGGACAATACCCGCAGATCTAGCACAAAAGGAAACAAGCTCCTTGGCTTTATCCACGATAAAGTTGAGGGTCCGTCTATCATGATCCCTGCCTGCAGCATTTCTCGTTTAGTGCACCGACGAGTTTTGAACGCATGGTGCCTGTTCGATTGGTCGCTTTTTTGTTGTGTGTTTCGAGGTTTGGAGGTTTTGGCTCGAAAGAGTATCGAGTCGCGTGTCTGTGCTGAAGCACACGAGGGGTTACTTGAAGCTAAGATTCGTTGAGTATTGATGGTTGAGAAAGGAAGAGGCATTGAACTCTTTCAATGGAGTTGTGAAGAGCTTGTCTACTGAAGAACAACTTAACAACTGAGTTCTAGCAATTGAGTTCATAAAACTTCCAAGTTCACTCAACCTTTGCCATCTCTACCGATCATCACAAGCTCCCCCAGCTCGTTTCCCCTCCAGGATTCGTCAAGCCATGCCTCGCCTACAGCTTGGCATACATCCCCCCTAGCATTAGCCATCTGCATCACCATCTCAGACGTCGGTGACGCATTAGGAATCAAGTCGCATGCTCACTCCTCTCCCACCTCAAACCCATCGTATTCCCCTCTCTCAGCTCAAGTGTCGCGTGCTCTATTTCCCAAAACCATCACCTCTTCCTGTCCCGCGATCGCCAGTTACAGCCTGAGACGTTTTAGCACTGGAAACAAGGTTAGTCACAAGCTTAAGGTAAGCTTAACTAGCTCTTCAAGTGGAGAGGGGTCTCCAGTTTCTTCAACGCCTCTCGGATGTGTTGCTACCGTTTGACAGAGAAAGCTAATTGCTTGCTGTAGAGCTGGTTCGTGCATGTTCCAGCCCTGTTCTGTGTTACGCAGTCACACTCGCACTTCTGTTGATCTGACTCTTGGCGTATAAGAATTTCTGTGGCAAGCCCGGGATCTTTGATGTTAATCCTAGCTCCAGGTCCTTTTCTTCGGTGGAATCGTCTTGGCGATGTCTTGTCTTGGCTCTTTTTCTTTCTTGGGGGGCGTGTGAGTATCTCCATAGCCCACGTAGAGCGATTCTTTCTCTTCTTCTCCACCAGCTGTGAAAAACTTATATATACTATGGAAATGTCTCGTAGAAAGCTGAGGTCTCCAGATCCCTCACAAATCCTCCCTTTTCCTTCTGAACCTCTTCTCTCTATTCGTACTGCACCGCTGAAATGGCAGTCTTCGCTCAGTACGACTACCTCTTCGCGGTAGGCACTATCTTTGCCTTCCTCGATGCCTGGAACATCGGTGCCAACGATGTCGCCAACTCGTGGGCTTCATCGGTGTCTTCCCGATCTATCAGCTACTTCCAGGCTATGATAGGTGCTAGTATCATGGAGTTCACTGGTGCTCTTGGTGTTGGTGGCCGTGTGGCTGATACCATCCGAACAAAGATTGTTGATGTCGAGGCCTTTGACGATAGCCCTGCTCTTCTTATGCTGGGTATGGTCTGCGCTGTTGTTGCTTCTGCTAGTTATCTCACCTTTGCTACCCGTTTTGGTTTCCCTGTGTCTACTACCCATTCTATCCTTGGTGGTGTTTTGGGTATGGGTGTTGGTGCCCTTGGTGGCTCTGGTATTACCTGGGTTGGCTACAAGGAGGACGGCTCTCTTGATATTCAGCAAGGTGTTGTTCAGGTTAGTACTCAACCGCCATCTCACACTCACATTCGCTGACTCACATCTTACAGGTCTTCCTCGCTTGGATCATCGCACCTATGCTTTCCGGTATCTTTGGTGCCGCCATCTTCCTCTTCACAAAATACTGCGTCCTCCTCCGCAAGAGCCCCGCTATCAAGGGTCTTATCCTCGTCCCCTTCTACTTCTGGGCCACTGCCTCACTCATCGTCATGCTTCTCATCTGGAAGGGTGGCTCTTATGAGGTCAACCTTACTGAGGAGCAAATCCCCGGTGTGATCGTCGCCGCTGGTGCTGCCTGGGGCCTTCTCATGGCTATCTTCCTTGTACCCTGGTTGTACCGTATTGTCATCAAGGAGGATTGGCAGCTCAAGGCTTACCACATCTTCCTTGGCCCTCTCCTCCTCAAGCGTGGTCCTGTCCCTCCCACCCCCGACAACTTCCAGGGCGTTGTCCGCAACTTCTACGAGGGCCATCTTACCCGCGAGGAGCTTGAGGAGCGCCGCACTCAACGCGCTGCTGCCCTTGGCGAGGATCTCGAGGCCGCTGGAAACGACAAGAAGGTTGTCACCGAGCAAGCTTCCGAGGAACCCGCTGCCAATCCTCACCAGCACAAGTCCATGGTTGGACCCAAGCCTGATGCCCCTTGGTACACTGGTGCTTTCATGTGGTGGGCTTTCAAGTTTGCCATTCTCCACGGTGTCGATAAGGATATTGTCAGCTCCCAGAGCGAAAAGTCTGTTGTTGCCGGCGACGTTGAAGAGATCCACGCTCGTGCTGAACATTTCGACAACCGCACCGAATTCCTATACACTTTCCTCCAAGTCATGACTGCTGCCTCTGCCTCTTTTGTCCATGGCGCCAACGACGTTGCCAACGCTGTTGGTCCTTATGCCTCCATCTACCAGATCTGGCAGTCTGGCACAGTCCCTGGAAGCAAGGCTCAAGTTCCCATTTGGATCCTCGCTTTTGGCGGTGCTGGTATTGTTATTGGTCTCTGGACATATGGTTACAACATCATGCGGAACTTGGGTAACCGTGTGACTCTCATGTCTCCTGCTCGTGGCTTCTCCATGGAACTCGGCTCTGTTATCACTGTCATCCTGGCCACTCGTCTTAGTAAGTTGTCCCCTAAACACTCTTCAGCAACATCCACTAACCATTCTTGCAGAGCTGCCTGTGTCTACTACTCAATGTATCACTGGCGCCATTGTCGGAGTTGGTCTCTGCAACGGAGATTGGCGTTCTATCAACTGGCGCATGGTTGGATGGATCTATCTTGGATGGTTCATCACTGTTCCTACAGCTGGTCTGATTTCAGGTTGCTTGATGGCTTTCATCACATACGCTCCTAACTGGAACTAGAGAATAGATTGCGATGGAACTGTTATGATTTCATGTTGAATGGCGTTTGGGAATACGATAAAAAATATACCAATTTACGATTTCAAATTGTAGTTTGCTTGCACATGTGACTTCTAGAGAAGGTAAAACTTGGGACCTGTCTTCGTTTTAATAAAAAGACTCAAGGTAAACTGAGCCAAGTTCAGTACAGTTTCAATGGGTTTTTACACCAACATTCCTTTAGCACTTTGATTCAAGGTTATAGGTTTTCTTGCTCCTGGCTCTTTGAAGTATCATCACATCTTGACTGTGCAGCTCATGTAAGAGAAAGAGACAGGTTACTTTTATTAAAGGAATGGCTATCTTAAATGATGAAACAATGTACCTAATCCCTCCTCAACCCGTCAACTAGACACAGCACCAAGTACTGCATCCTTATTATGTGCCCAGGTCGAGTGGTTCTCCTGTGTCCAGTGACACTGGCCTGGAGATTGTTGTACTCAATCTCGCGCCTTGATGATGGCCTTGCCCTCGTTTGGGAGCGCATCAGTTGTAGAGTCGGGCGAATCGCACGGAGCGCTTGAGGGGCTTGTGCTTCTTCTCATCTGCCTCGACGTACTTAGCGGCCCATTTCTCAACAGTCTTCTCAACAGCCTTCTCGACCGTGGTGTCGTCATAGGGATCGGAGCGCTTATCGTGCTTACCATGCTTGGTGTATTCGGTAGTCTCGGAGGTCTCCTCCTCCAATCCGAAGATGAGAATCAGGGCCTTGCGGATTTCCTTGTCGATGATCTCATCGAGAAGCTTCAGAACCTTCTTGATGGCGTGTTCGATATCCTCATCTGAAGGGTCATCGCCCAGAGCCTCGAGGGTCTTGGCGAAGATCTTGTCGGCAGCCTTGATGATATCGGCGATAGCAGGAGCAAGGTACTCAATAATGGTTTCCTCCTCAGGCTCTTCAACACCCTCAATCTTGACGATGTGGGCGATGGTCTTCTTGACGTTCTTTGCGATGATGCTCTTGATGACTTCCTCAACCTTTCTGACGTACTTGAGGATAGTTCCAGAGCTAGGGTCGTCGCCGGCCTTCTTGATAGCGATTCGGATGGCCTCCTCGATTTCTTCCAAGATCTTGTCCTCGGCGTTCTCAATGTACTTCTCGACCTTGGCAGTGTTGGCTTCTACATCAGTAGCTTCGTGGGACTCAAGAGAGCGCTTGTGGGCGCCCTTCTTAGGCCAGTGGCCGGCTTCAATGAAGAAAAGCTTCTCCTTGAACTTGCGCTCATGAGTGATGCGGGCATCCCAAAGCTTCTCCAAAGCCTCGTGCTTGGCCTTTTCCTTCTCACTCTCCAAGCTTGCCTTCTTGGCGGAGTGGTGGGAGGACTTTTCGAACTCGGTGACAGGCTCGTGCTCATGCTCCTTATGCTCATGATGACCGTAGTGAGGCTTCTCTTCAGGCTTATCCTCGTGTTCCTCATGCTCCTCATGCTCATCGTGATGGTACTTCTTGGGCTCGTGCTCGTGCTCGTGCTCGTGCTCATGCTCATGCTCCTTTGGGTGCTTGTAGTGGTGCTCCTTGTGCTTCTCCTTAGGCTCATGCTCCTTGTAATCGTGGTGCTTAGGTTCATGCTCCTCGTGCTCCTCGTGATCAGGGTGGTGTTTCTCCTCAGGTTCCTCATGCTTGTACTCCTTGTGCTTGTAGTGGCCAGAGTCGTGCTTCTCCTCAGGCTTCTCAGGCTCGTAGTGCTTGTGCGACTTCTTGGCGAAGTAAATATGGTAGAACTTGTTGAGAGCCTCTTGGAAGTGTCCCTTCAGAACCTCTTTGACCTCCTCTTCGGACTTGTAACCATCATGCTCGGAAACAGACCTCTTATCATGCTCATGCTCATGCTCGTACTTAGGTCCTGACTTGTACTTGTGTTCGTGCTCCTTCTCGTGCTTGTACTTATCCTCTTCGGAGTGATACTTGTGCTCAGGCTCGCCCTTGTGCTTGTACTTGTACTCGTCCTTCTTGTTGGCCTCTTCCAAAAGCTGCTTGTGCTTCTCGGCCTCGAGCTCACTCTTGGATGCCTTTTCCTTCTTGGAAGCATCAATATGAGTGCGAGAATGATCGGACTTCTCCTTGTAGTAGACAGTAATGGGTTCCTTGTGCTCAGATCGCTTGTAGTGGCCATAATCGTACTCATGGCTGTAGTGATGCTTATGAGGATCGTGGTGGTGATGACCGTGGTGGCCGCCGTGGTGACCATCGTGGTGACCATAATGGTGGCCGCCATTGTGATGCTTGTGAGGATCGTGGTGATCATAACCATGGTGGTTACCGTCATGGTGCTTATCATCGTTGTAGTCGTAGTAAACGTGATGCTCCTTATAGTGGACATGGTCGTCAAAGTGCTTATGGCGGTGCTTGTGAACATGGTCATGAGCGTGGCTGTGGTTGTGGCCATGATGATGTCCGTGATGGTGCTTATGTCCGTGGTCATGGTGCTTCTCATCATCATCCTTGAGCAAACCACGAGCATGGTGGTAGTTGTATCCATCATGGTGCTCACCGTGGTGGTGGTGCTTGTGACCCTCGTTGTGGCCGTGATGATGGTTGTGGTGCTCAACATGATGATGGTTGTGATGCTCATTGTGATGATGCTTTCCGTGATGGTGCTCATTGTGGTGGTGCTTTCCATCGTGATGCTCGCCATAGAGGTGCTTGTAGGGATCATGGTGGTGGTGGCCATCGTGGTGACCATCGTGGTGACCGTCATGATGACCATGATGACCATCGTGATGACCGGGATCAGCGTGGTGGTAGTGATAACCGAAGTGCTTGAAGTACTCGTCCAAGAAAGCATTGAAGTCACGGTGGCTGTTGGGATCATAGTAGTGATGGAGCTTGTAGTGATCATGACCATCATGATGGCCGTGATGATGTCCGGGATCGTCATGCTTGTGACCATCGTGGTGGCCATGATGGTAATGTCCAGGGTCGTGGTGCTTGTGGTGGTCATGATGATCATATGAACGGGCATGATGCTTATGATGAGGATCCTTGTGATGAGGGTCATGGTGGTGGTTCTTATGGCGGTGATCATGATGATGATGCTCCTTGTGAAGATGACCGTGGAGGTGACCGTGTCTGTGTCCATGACGATGAGCGTGGTTGTGACCATGGTTATGGTGATGCTTGTGGTAATGCTCATGGTGGTGCTCCTTATGCCTGTAGCTGCATTAGTACTGGTGAAATGATGGGGTGAAGCGGGGGCAGTACTTCTCTTCTTCCTCTTCGGCTTCAGCAGCCTCTTCCTCTTCTTCCTCCTTCTTGTATTTCTTCTTCTTCTCCTCTTCCTCAGCCTCGGCCTCGGCTTCCTCTTGTTCCTTCTTCTTCTTGTACTTCTTCTTTTCCTCAGCCTCAGCTTCGGCTTCTTCCTCCTCCTCCTCCTTCTTTTTCTTGTACTTCTTCTTCTCTTCCTCGGCCTCAGCCTCAGCCTCTTCCTTCTTCTTCTTATACTTCTTTTCTTCTTCAGATTCTTCGGCTTCGGCCTCTTCCTCTTCTTCCTTCTCCTCGATCAACTCGATCTTCTTGTGCTTGTACCTGAGTGATGTTAGGTGAGGTGAGACATGCTGATTGATGGGTTGACTTACTCCTTGCACTCAGCGCAGGTGTAGCTGACAACAAAGTACTTCTCATTGATATCGGGAGAGCGGCTGTAGAGCTCGTACTTCTTGTGCCCGTGGGAAATGGTGGCCTTGACCTTGATGTAAAGTCTCCAGCCTCCATTGTCCTCGAGGGGACAGAGGTCGCCGTAAGAGCCGCCATCCGAGAGGGAGAAGAAGGGGACCAAGCACTTGGCCTCTTTGTAGTCGTTCTTGGCCTTGCAGTGATCGCTCTTCTTGTTGTACTTGAAAGAGTCCTCTGTGGGAGGCTGACCACGCTCGATGTAGACGGCTACATCTTCGTACTTGTAGTGGTCGATATGCTTGAAGTTGAAGACGATGCCGTTGTCCTTGAAATCGAAGGAAACCTGAGTCAAGGCCTCGTGTGGGGCACAATGAGATGTGCCGACACAGAGATCCCAGGAGCTGCCGGGTTTGTAGTCGTTCTCAGGAAAGACGAATGTCGCAGGGTCGGGAACCCACTTGTGCTTGCCATTCTTGGAACATCCTTCGAGAGAGCGGTGCTCTTCTGTACCGGATTCGATCTTGAAATGGGCAAGCGACTCGTGGGCTAAAACCCCGAGGGCCCCGTTGAGGGCGTAAAAGAGGGACGTTCTCATCTCGTACTCACAGAGTGCAGAAATGAGAGGGTAACGAATGAGGTGAGAACTTGATCGGTTTGACGAGACTGATCATTAGAGACCCTCCATCTCTTTTGTACTTAGACTCATCTCACTCGCTGAATACTTGGACTCGTCTCACTGCTGAATCTCACATGTGTAGGGAGGAGGTTGGAAGCATGATGACGCCGCCACCATGGATGCATTCAGAGTTATGAGGCTTCGGTGAAATGCATGTCAAGCTTCGGAATGAGGAGATGTTGTGTCGAAAGGCGCTTTGTGGATCGATGATGCCTCAGCAACGTCGCTAATGAGAGTGAGGTTGGGAGAGGGTGGCTTCAACAACAAGCCGTTCTTGATGTTTATCGAAGCTGATGTAATGAAGAAAGACCATTAACTGACCCGGATTGCTTTCACGAGTTCATCCAAAGTACACTGCCCAGCTAGACTCCATGGAATATCCATGGCCGTGAATGAACACCATGATAGTAATTGAGAGACCCGAATCGTTCCGTGAGTGAGATTTCCGCTTCGGTTTAATATTGGGACGATATCCCAGCAGATTCACCTAGAGCTTTGAATCTGATGGCAATGAGCATTGTGTGGCACATACAAAGATGTAGGTGAATATCTCGTACCATTCATCGAGTTTCATACCGTATGTCTTCCGCGTTGCTCAGGAACAGCAACTCGATTTCCTAGGTTCTCACCCCATTCCCAGTTCCCGTCTCTTCGTTTATGCGTGTATGAGTTCTATGGTCCTCAGGATTCGCAAGTTGATCGAGGTTTGCATGTGAATGTAACGTAAAGTGATCCAGAGCACATTTGCGTGATCGATGATGATAGGTCGTAATCAAATGACGAGTTCGGCCCGGCTCCAAAGCTGGCTGCAGGATGCATACCATCTTGCAGAAAAGAAGTCCAATAGTTGTTTGACGATGCTAAAGAACGAAGTTGTTGATGGCATCGAAGGACTTTTGGTGTTGATTCCTGAAGCCCAAATTGAGGAGTACTTTGTTGGGAAGGTTCGATAGGTCGAAATAAGGGCAACATACAGGAACGGAGATAACCTAACAATTACTTGGTGCAGAAACGACTGAAAGATATTACATAAAACGAGGGATCAGACGATGGAATACGAAATTTAAGCGGGATAAGCTTTAAGCTTGAACGAGTGGCTAGGCTTTTGGTCATTGAGTTTGACGGCGAATCGACGATCCATTGTTTTCCCCACGGGGTCTTTGTTAATCCTTGCGGACTCAAAGTAAACAATGAGACAATGGCTACAAAGAACAAGGATTAGGGAAATTCTAGCTATGGTCATGGGCTCCCTTCGTAGGAGGCCTCATCTAAGGGGGAATTAGTAATATTCGAAAGCTCTATTCTAGGCTTCAGATCAACAATAGTGTTCAATAGTTAGGTGAGATAGGTGAGAGTGTGCGATCACTGCTTGTATTAATGTTCGCAACAGTAATGTGTAACGGTCTCTGGGATGAGCACCGATGATTTCAATTAAGTGCGCTGCGATGGGATGTTCAGGCATTAGATATATGAACAATAAAAACGTTTGAACACAAGGTTCTCAGAGTGAACATCCAAAGAGACTGTTGAAAAGTTGTGTGCCATGAAATGTCTATCTCAAACTGTATAGCCGCGGGGCTTTTCAAGCCATAGAATCTACTACCACACAAAACTCGCGATGCCCTCACTTTTCGCTGCAGTCTCGTCCATATGTCTATAATATTTAGAATATTTATGATTTGAATAAGATGACCTTCAATACTGAAGATTATTAAATTGTGCCACTGGTATACTGTTCAGTTCCACTCCAGAGTGAACATATCGCTATGTACTTCGTACTCTCCATTTGACACTGGCACTGGCAGCGTCCGGCCTGGTTCACCAGGAACATTGTTTATAGTATATTTACTCTTCCGTACCTAGCCTTAATACAATCCTCTCCTCTGAAGCTCACTTTCTCCTTATCTCTTCATCCTACATCAACAGTAACAGCATCTCACCTCATTGTTGATCATCACCATATCACTTCTATCAACCATAACCTTATCACAACTCTTTTGTATCATCACTACCTACAAAGACAACTCACCATGAAGGTAGCTGTCATCGGCGGCGGTCCAGCTGGACTAGCTACCCTTCGGTTCCTTGCTCATGCCCATGAGTACTTCCCCATCCCTCCTATCCAGGTCCGACTCTTCGAAGCTGAGTCCCAGATCGGCGGCACTTTCTCCTACCGCGTCTATGAAGACGCTGAGGTGAGTTCTCACCCCTTTCCTTTGATGAAACATATACTGACTATATCATAGCTTGTCTCTTCGAAGTATCTCACTGCTTTCTCCGACTTTCGTCTTCCAGACAATGTCCCTGACTTCATAACCCCTGAAGTGTACGTTCAATATCTTAAAGACTACGCCACCAACTTCGTACTCTGGCCCATGATCGAGCGTAATACCAAGGTTGAGAAAGTTCGTCGTGGTCCTAACGATGTTGGCCATGTCATCTCTCTGCGCAACAAGCAAGGCGCCTTCGAGTGGGAGTGTGATGCCGTTGCTGTCTGCAGTGGAATCAACGTCAACCCAGTCATGCCCAACATCAAGGGTATCGAACGAGTTCCGAAGGTCCTTCACTCATCCCGTCTCAAGTCTCGAGACCAGTTTGGTGAGAACACTAATGTGTACATCATGGGTACTGGTGAGACCGGTATGGACCTTGCCTACCTCGCTGTCACTTCTGGCGCAAAGACTGTGACCCTCTGTCATCGTGATGGCTTCTTTTGTGCACCCAAGGTATGTTATTACACTAATATTGTAAGAGTCAGCTAACAGTTTATAGATCATCCCTATCCCTCAAGCCCTGGGGCGTTCCACACCAACTGCTAACAAGCCTGTCGACACCTCTGTCGCCAGCCTGTTCGACACAGCCTACGCACATCCGAAGCTCCAGAAGAGCCAACTTCTCTGGACTTACTACGATAGCTGGATCAAGAATATGCACAAGTTCATCTCTGGCACTGAAGAGGGTCCTGATCAGTGGGTTGGCCAGATGAGCCCTGACCGCAAGTACATGGACTCAAGTAAGTACCCCCCTTTTCCATGATCAAAATATATAATAACTAACATATTAATAGTCCTCCTCTGCAAGTCCGATAAAGCTCTACCCTACATGAGCGTCGGCAAACGATCCCAGTCGTGGGGCAACCGTATTCGATCTTTCTTCATGAATGTCAAGATTGAAGACACCAAGGGCAAGAAGATCGATGTAATGACCTGGCCTACCAGCATCGACCGAGATGGTAACATGCAGTTCGACAACAAGCTTCCAGGTGATTCAACCATCCCCAAGGAGCAGCTGAAACCGGATGTCTTGGTCTTTGCAACCGGCTACACTCGAGATTTCCCTTTTCTGGACAACGACTACCCAACTGTTGCTCAGACCAACATTCGAGAGATCTACAAAGAAGGAGATGTGACTCTCGGTTACATTGGATTTGTCCGCCCTTCCCTCGGAGCCATCCCACCCCTTGCCGAGCTCCAGGCTCAGCTGTGGGTTCTTCACCTGATCCAGCATCACTACCCTAAGGAGGTACCTACTATCCGTGACTCCAATGCACTCGAGTCCTATGACCTGGACTATCGTCTTCACCCCCGAGGTAACTACAGTTTCTATGAAACCAAGCGAGCTGTTGATCATGAGAGCTATGCCTACCAGCTCGCCCTCGACATTGGTTCTGCACCCAAGGCCCATTTGGTCATGAAGAAGGGTTGGAAGGTCTTCTACACCTGGGCCATGGGTTCCAACTTCAATACCAAGTTCCGAATGGTCGGCCCCTGGAAGTGGGAGCAGGGTGCAGAGAACATCATGCGAAACGAGTTGTACAACATTGTCAAGCAGTCCGGCGGCTTTGTCTGTAAGTATTCCCCAATGCCCCTATTTTGAAACATATGCTAACTGATTTCATAGACCTTGCGACTTACACTCTTGTACCTCTCTTTCTTTTCGGAAGCATGAGCATGGTCCTCTATGCTTGGTACGCTATCTGCAACTATTTCACCTCTCTTGTTGGCGGACACTCTGGATCTGCCACGAACGAACGGAACGCCCATGACGACCGACTTGCGTGAGTGGACATTGACATCAAACTTTGACTTTGAGTATGAAGCCACGAGAAGTTTTGTGCACATGAGAGGATAGACCTTGGGTCTTTTGCGATGTTGACTTACACCAAATATGAGAGGTTGGGTTGAGTCTTACAAGTTGTTATTGGTTTTCTGTGGACTAGCGAACGTCTTTAGTACTCGGAGTAGATCTTTTGCAGTAGAACCAATAGACAGATGAATGACTTGTGATTACGGATGATTGCAGCAGATGCAGCTGCTTTAGTGCCTTACAGTTTCATGCTACTTAGTACCATCAGTTCAGTGCGCATGTCCAAATAATTGCCATTTATCGTGAATTTCCATTTTATAAATTTATCGTGAGAATGGGTCTCAGGAACTGGTTTAAAGGCTCAAAGATATACTGAACTTACCATTTTTATTACTTAGACGAGGTCCTTGCTGCCGCGATCTCGGTGAAGATCGGAGTGTGGGGGCCGTGGCGGGGCTCACCTCGGTGAGGCTGGCTTACCTTAGTTTTTTCTTCTTCCCAAGAATCGCAAATCATAGTTACTCGCTCCAACAAACGCAATGGACAAGGAGACAGTACAGCCCAATTCGTGGGTAGCCCTACGGCTCCCCAACGAGACATATCGCGTACTACAGGTCGTACCAAATACGTAAGCCAATCGTCATTTTCCCACTCCCTTGCTCTAACTTTTGCGACAGGACAATCTCGCTGGGCAAGTATGGCTCATTCCCAACAAACCTGATTATCAACCGTCCGTACCACTTCACATACGAGGTCCAAGACAAGCGCGAGGGAGAGACGTTTGCGCGCCTGCGTGTCGTGCCCGCTAAGGAGCTCAATGCCGACGACTTGGCCGACACCAGCGCCGAAGCGACAGAACCAGCAGAGGGAGACGATGTAGTTGCGGCTGCAGATGGCGAGGAGCTTACTCTCGTCGACGAGAGCGGAAAGGTGCTCATCCGATCGAATCGCGAGATCATCGACGACTCGGCCCGACAGACTCTCAAGCCGGAAGAGATCGAGGAGCTCAAGCGCAAGGGCGCATCGGCGGGCAAGGAGCTGATCGCCAAGCTGCTGCTGTCGCATACGGCAATTGACCAAAAGACGGCGTACTCTCTGGCCAAGTACAAGCTCCTCAAGACGAAAAAGTATATTCGACGGTTTACGGTGTTGCCTCTTGACGTACCGATGCTAGCGCAGTGGTTGCTGGAGGACCGCGATGCTTCCAAGATTCTCGAGATGAGACAGGAGATGATGGCGCTGGTCGGTTGCTGGGCTGATGTCCACTATGGAGGTGCTGCTACTGAGGATGCTGGTGCTTCACAGGGTGGGAGGTGGTTGGTGGTAGATGATACGGGTGGCTTGCTGGTGGCATCTTTGGCTGAGAGGATGGACATCCTGCATCCCAAGCTCGAGGAGAACACGGAAGATCCCGCTGCAACAGAAGTCACAGAAAACAACAATGCCCCTACAGACGAGATGGACCAAGACCAGCCCCAGACAACAGAAGCAACGGACCCCGAACAAAAGCAGGACAAGAAGCGATCTAAGCGAAGCGACTTCAACGTCCCCTACGTCAACAGAAACACCCTCACCCTGATCCACGGCCAGACCCAGCCCAACCTCGCCCTTCTACGATACTTCAACTACGACGCCGCAAACGCCAACCCCTCTCCGCCCTACCACCCCCTCGACACCAACCTCATGGATATTTCGTGGCTGCAGCTCCTGTCACCCGATGAAGACGACGCATACAACAACAAGCCACCCGAGGCGACACCAGAGGAAATTGCGACATGGAAGACGAATCGTAGAGGGAACTACCACCGCAAGAGAAGAAGGTGGGCGCGTATTCGGCATGTGGTCGACACAACACGCGCCGGAGGATTCTCAGGTCTCGCAGTCGCAAGCACCATGGATCCCATCTCCATTGTGCGCAGCACAGTACCTTTGCTAGCGGGAGGCGCCCCCATCGCCATTTACTCTCCCACCATCGAGCCCCTGACGCAACTGGCGGATTGCTTTAGTGTGGCGCGTCGAGCCGCGTGGGTATCATCGCCTCCGCCAGAGGTCGAAAGCAAAACAGCTGAAGAGCTTGAGCGCTGGGAGGGCAGTGAAGAGTTCCCCATTAACCCTACGCTTCTGCTCGGTGTGACTATCCAGACTAGCAGGGCACGACGATGGCAGGTTCTTCCCGGGAGGACACATCCTTTCATGATGGGCCGTGGAGGTGCAGATGGATTCTTATTCACAGCATGGAGGGCGGTGCCTGTTGAAGGTAAAATTGAGGCGAGGGGAAGGTTCAAGAGGAGAAAGCTAGATACCTGAGTTGAAGAGGCATTGGATCAGAGATGTCTTGATAGCGTTTGTATAAGTAATCCTCCAACTGGAGCATGTCTAGGTTGACGGCCATCTCATCCAGTTCACAAATCCATTCGATATGACTCAAGCTTTTTGGGCTTCTTTTTGTTGACGTTCTAAGCCATTCTGGCATCTATTTACTGCGTATTCCTTCCGAGCCATCAAGGTAGTATGCCAGTGGTGAACTTGTATCAATGAATCAAAATATTTGTTGAAGAAGCTATTGCACGGTGAACCTCTTGTCAATATCAATGAAGAAACAGAATTTTGAATGGCGATGCGATGCCGTCTTCCAACCCAATCTCATACTGCTATGCGTACAAGCATCTCTTGTATGTTTGCCTGTAGTGCACTGCATAGGGACTCATGTGGATGACCTCTGAGGACATCCTCCCACTCAGTCTTATTCTCGTCCAACTGCAATGTCGAATAACACAACCCATGTGATTGGAAATCAGATTTGATCCTGAAGTCCTGTTTCATCCTCTCATTTTTGGCGTTCATGCTGCAACGGGTGATGGCACGTATGGCCATGGCCCTATGGAATTCCGGCTCAGGAACCTGCTCCTAGTTTTTCCCTGCAAACTCGATAGGCAACAATCCCAGATTATCGGTTATTCGGAGTGTTCTCGAAAGAGATTCAAGATTGTCGAAATTCCGATAAGGATAGCGAAAGTGTAGAGTGACTAGGGCTACTAGCGGGAGCTTGCAAAACCACCTCACAGCTTTCATCCAATTCTCATAATGCTTATAGGCCAAAGTCCAAGAAGCAGGGGGTCTTGGCCAACGCCAATCTTTTCCCAAGCCATCGGCTCCGGTGCTTGAGGAAGACACGTGGGGTCGAAAATGACCAGCTTGATATGAGCCCATGACACGACGGGCAAAAGGTGCTATAAAAAAAGGGTTGAAATTAAGATGTTCGTGAATCGTAACAGTGACGAAGGTGAATAGAAAATGAACTGCACTCCTTGTAGGAGCTGTTGTTTCTGGAAACCGGGGTGCTTGGCGGACATGATTTCGAACGGAATGGCTTGTCCGTTGTCTGGTACAGAGACTTGGAGCATGCCGAGCTTTGTCTTCCTTGGGAAGCCTTTATCATCGTACGTCAAACAATAACTTCTATACTCCATATAGATATACTCAACATGATCTAGGAGATAGAACCCGAATACTTTCTCACTGCATGGTTCCGGCAGCATCCTTAAGACTTGGGGCATCATCTTGTAGGCTACTGCTCCAGGGGGTGCATGCTTGTATGCTTTGGCAGAGACTACTGCCCCGTGGGGTACATCATGATTATTGCGTGCTGCGGGAGCAGGTGTTGGAAACGTCGATGCGCCACGACGAAGGGATGTCGATAGCAAATGGAGATGAATATTGCGATGATAAGGCTTGAGAACTCAATGGAAACTGTTGTATTATCTAAAACCTCAGGAGGTGTAAGAACAAAGTACCTAGATATGCGTATCGAAAAGCGAAGGAGTAAGTGCAAAGTCTTCAGGGTAACAAAAGCAAGACCGACTGATGCTTCCCAGACTCTACAACATTAAAACTGAGAATCACCAAGATAATGACATTGTAAAGGGGATGATGAATATATTGACAGTACTGAAGCACCTAATTAGCCATTAAAGTACCCTCAGTTTCATATACCTAAATTGTGCCAACTCATCCTCGCTATTCTCCTCTTCTCCTCTGTTCTGGCCAGTCCAATCATGAAACATCAGTGAACTCGTCTTGTTTACATGCCATCCTCTCCTTCCATCAATTGACCTTAAATCTGAGCCCCAACGATATATGCAAGGGACTCCTGAGACTCTTGTCACACACTCTCTTTCCGCCCGCTCTTCATCCGAGCTTTTTGAAATCTGCCGTGAATTGTTAGCTACAGAGACGAGATGTGAAAATGGCTAGTCTGTGGCCATACACAAGTATTTGGAAGATGTAAGAAATTGTGCTGGATGTTATTTGGCCGTTTAGTTGCGCTGGCGGTCTGCTGTTTCCAGATCCTCGGGCCATTCGCCCTTGACGGCTGAAAATATTGACTGCGAGTTGATGCTAGGGGAAGTGTGTACTGTACATATGTGATTCCGCCGCATATGAAAAAGAATATTGCTTCTTCGCGAGGTTTTCATCCTAGGAGTGGATGGTATGTCGGTTTATGAGAGACTCAAAGGGACAACTCTTTGACAGGATTGGAAAGAGTGATGAGTGGTATAATAAGATCTTTCATAGATGGAAAATAATAATATCTCCTGCCTTTGTGGCTTCTGGGTCTTGGCCTCCATTTCGGTGCCTAGGTTGACAAACAGGGACTGTATATTGAACAAGGACGTGATATCGACGTCTTATAGCTGCGAATAAATGTTACATGTAGCTTGAACCCGTTGCCCACGAGCTTTTCCCAAGCGACCTAATTATGGTTAGTTCGAGTGTTCCAAACGTCATTTTCAATTTTTACTCACCGCGCAGTGCCCAGTTACGATATTCTTCTCAGTGATGGGGTACACCGTAAAGTCCAGGCCCTTGTAGGCCTTGTTCTTGATACCCATCGCCGCCTCGAAACCTCCTTCGCGGTTTTAAACTGTCCTGTAGGAATGACTTAGACTGCAGCTTTACCAGTTTCTCTAAAAGGAGTGCAATTGGCCTTGCCAGTCCGGTGATATCAACGGTGCGACAAAAGCTGATGATCTACTGTTGTTCAAATGCGCCCCTAACCCTAAGTTCAAGTCACCTGCGCGCTGTACATTGATCTCATAGGGGATGCTATAGCGATCTAGCAAGTCAGGTGTGATAACGAGGCTCAGATGTCGAACGAACTGGCTGTAGACCTTAGTATCCTTAGGCAGGCCAACGAGACGCTCAGCCATACGCTCAAAGTCTTCATTACACGTCTCCAGGATAGTCAACCATAACTTCTCTCCACAGAGGCAAGCGCTTGTAAATGGCTCTGCTAACTCTGGTCGCAGATTGTTATACCTTGGAGTTCCTCGGAGCTGTCCAATTCAGAGACCATGTTATTCATCTCTTTCTTCCAGTGTCGCGCCCGAAGTATGCTAGTATCAGGTTATTTCTTAGACATTCGGACTTGTGCGTCGTTATAGAGCTGCTTCTCTGCGACAAGCCATGCGACTGTGGGAACGATAGATAGCAGCGCCCATAGCCTCCTGTTGATTACGCAGGGGCTCGGTCTTCCTGGCTTCAGGGAGTCTTGGGCTCTCCAGTCAAGTAAGACCTCTCTACCCGGTGGAAAATGGCCTTTCTGTGGGCTCAACCTCGAGTTTGCTTGAGGTTTGTTGACACTCAAGATGTCCAACTCAATTCCTTGTTTATATAGAAATCCGTGTTTGAGAATACACTATATGCTAAAGGATTGTATATTGAGAGCTCAATGTTGTTAAGAGGCTCCCTAAGCCCGGCGGTTTTAGCCATGATGAGTTTCGCGGCTTCATCAATGATTGACTTGTGACTGACAGCGTTGGGCTTGGAGTTACTCCTTTGGGCGGCAAAATGGGTTTACTTTTGGATATGCATCTCTTGTCTGTGTTTAAATATCTTATGCGTCTGCTATGTTCGGCATTGAGGAAAAACAAAAGGGATGGCAGGACTCAGTAAGTTATGGGATTGCGCGCCATGTCTCGTTCATGTTATGGAGTTCGTCTCTTTGTTATGTCCTCGAATACCGGAAGATGGTTTCGTCGAGGTCCATTTGATGTGTTATCCTAAGGTGTCCTCGAATTGTCTGTTGACGAGGATATTCAAGACAGATGACTTTTGAGCGATAGGGGCAGAATGGATCGTATACTCGGTCTCGTCAGGGCCAATGACGAAGGTGAAAGCCTTAGACGCCGCGATACTACGTGGCAGTTCAGCTGGTGCCGTTAACATCAGCTTGTTAGTTGGAGTTGCTCTAACTTGCTCCAGCATGTCTCCCATGCCTTGTGGGTATATTTTCCCCTGTTGCGGAGCGTAGCGATTATACTTCCAAGCTGGTGAGGACTAATTGCGATGCTGGGGCCATCCTCCAAGTTCAAAGGTCGTTCGGGTCTGTGGTTGGCACTTTGCAATTGCGAATGCATTGGAACCACATGACCTGCCCGTCACATAAGCTCCCTCGCCATCTTTTACATGTCTGAAATGGTCAAGAGGGAGAGTGTGAGTGTTGTCAGCGTCTAAAGATAGGGCCATCGTATTGATGTTTTCACGTCTTCATCTCAAATATAGGTATAGAAGAGATTGAGAAAGTATCTGGCATCGATGATGTCTGTTACAGACATGTGCTCTAGGTTCTTGGACCGTTGGCGTAGATGCTTTGCTAGAGCTTCTCTATTTCGAATAGCGCTTGATGTACTGCCAGATGTGGGTTTCTCGAGTCGAAGTCGTGGTCAACGCCTAGACTATGCTGACTATATATATATTATAGAACGAAACTTTGCTTTCCAATCAGCTTTTGATGCTTCATAGTGTGACCACACACCAAACTCGTGGATCTTTGGCGTAGCTCAGAGTTGATCCATTCTGTCGTTGCTTGCTATAGACGACAAGGCTATACCTCCTCCTCCTATCCAATTTGAGTCTTGAGGGAAAGGTTGAGAGGAGTAGAAACCGACCCTATTGGAGGTTTTCCAAAAGCCTGACATTCGATAGTAAAAATTTCATGGGCAATTTATATACTGAAGAGGAGTCCGTGGTGTGTCTGGATGTCGAAGCGATGATAGCAGATGCTCCAGAACATACTGCTGACGACTGAGCTTTATCAACTCTGCTTCTTTGTCTGGGTTTGCACGCCGAAACTTGGAGACAACTTCAGTCTCCTCCTGGCTTCTGATGAAATCGTTGATCTCGTTGTCTCAGAGAAACTTGTCGATATGACTTCTCGCAGGTTGTGGTATAGGATATATATGCTGTAGAAAGCGGTGTTCGGACTTTATCACAAAAACGATCTGAGGATTTTGTGCGACGGGAAGAAGATGATCTCGGTTCCTGACTCTGGGCTTTGGAATAACTGCCCTTTCGTCTCCAATCTATACATATATATTTTCGGCTGTGATGTGGTATATCCAGCTCCTGAGAATAGCTAGTCATTCTCTTGGTCGCCCTTCCATATTAGGCATAACATCGATGACCTGCATATTGTTCAAGGAGTGCCTAAATAAAGTCGATAGCGTGGGTGTGTGCAGATCTGTTATTAGAACTGTCACGGCATCCCAGCCGGGATTCTCTTTTGTTATTCGGTGAAGTGCGGCAATCTCCCTGGAATTGAGACACCTCTGATAGCCTCCAGCATTCCTTCAGGGCGCAAGTGGTCGCGGGCTTTCATGAACTCCATGGAGGATTTTGCAAAGGACTTTGGGAGATGGGCACAATTGCCATGACCTGGGCGAATAGACTGAGGTTCGCAGGAGGGCCCGATGCCCGCTCCGAGCTTGGGAACTAGTCCCTTTACCTCTGTAGATCGTGAACCGGGAATAGAAAGGAAGAATCTCCTCCGTAATTTCTCTGGATTTATGAGGTGAAACATGTTGATGCTACAAAGCTTTCCTTATAGGCAGTCAGGTGGTCCATATATACATGGGATTATATTTGTCCCAGCCAACCGAAACTGATTAAGCCGGTTCACGGCAAGGTTTCGTGGATTTGCCGTCTCGGAGAGTGCGTCTGACGGTAGGAGTAGCGTAGATGGTGTTCTCAGAGTTCATCGACGTTGATTTGGATGTCCTGGTCATCGTCGTCGTGGAGGGTGTCGACGTGGGACCCAGTATAAGCAATTCAGGAGATAGTATAGTTGGACTGGTGATACCTGTTCACCAGTAGTGAGAATATTTGTAAGAAGGTCCTATAATCATGGTATTAGGGCTCAAATTACAACAAATATAACGACGATTACACTTACGTCCTGAAGTACTTCTGTATCTCAGATACCCACTGTCAACAATAAAATTATAGAAGAAAAGAATATAGAGAGATGAGGATATAGTGTTCTTATGTACTGTAGGTAGGTATTTGAAAGTTGCCAAGGTTGAAAGTAACTTTTGCGTATGTCGTTTGATGTTTGGGTCAAAACTGAGCTGAGTAAAGAGGCAACGATGACACATGGACCTCGCTCCACAATATGCTTCAGTACCCTAGCAGGAAGCAGTTATTGTGCCTTATTTGCGATATATTGCTTCTATGCTTGTAGTATCCTTGTCATTTCTTACTCGATGACAGCACTTCCGTAATCATTCTGGTGGCCTGGCAATTTGTTAGCTGACATATCAGCAACCCCTAGTGGCATCTAGTAATGACTTACGGTTATATGCGAAGTTTCTTAGATCAGGAGGTCTCCACGGATTACCATGTATCCGTGCGCTTCGTCGGTGTTCTGGCTGGGGAGGATTGCGAGACTTCCAACATGGTTAATTACAGAGGGGTTACGCAAATCGGTAAGCTGCAGCATCATGGCCATTCGGATCAGCCATTTCAGCGTTGATATAGATGCCGTTGAGCCTGGTTCGCTTGGAGAGGGTATGGGTTGCTTGGGCGTAGCGAAGCTATCTCAGAAGGCAGGGATAAGCGCCTGGCCATGCGAGGATAACTGCAACTCAGCCTGGGGAATATAGCCTCTCCTACCACTCTTGGCCTCGACAAGGAGTATCTGTCTGCCATTTCGGGGAGTCGGCTTAAAGCTGATGGTCTCGCGGATGTTGGCAGCTGAGGTAAGGCAGGCAGGTTAGCAACACCATCACATAGATATCATGTACCAGCAGTCAAGGGAAATATAGAACATACCGTCCACTCTCGGCTTCTCGGCGTCGACCATCGTGAGGATGCGAGAAGTTTTGGCGATTGCTGTGGCTGTTGAGCTGCTCAACCCCCTCAGCAACGCTCAAGTCATTATCCTCCTGGATACTGACAGCGCCACGAACACGAGAAAGCATATCCCGGACCATTTTCCAAGTTGTCCAGATCTGTTCGACCGACGCGGGATCCCCGATCTCGGCCTTACGGACCTCCATCCACCGGACGAATGCCTCTTGAGAACAACAAGGGTCAGAGTCGCTGTCCGAAAACTCACTTTCAGATCGGCTCAGGTGTTGAGTCTGTTTGATATGATATATAATATGTGCGTAAAAATCGGAGTCGAGGACTGTGATACACAGATCAGGGGACAGAGGGATGGGGAAGTGGCTGTGGTGCGGTAATGCAGCCATATATTGTAAAGAAATCTTTGACTGTGCCAGGTGTATATATTCTGATTATGATGGGTCCATTGGCAGCCCAGAGCTACTCAACGTCTGTGTTCATTTTGTCCGCAAAGTATTCGGCGGGGAACAAGACAGGACCTGTGGTCCACTTGACGAAACGTCCTCTCTCATTCTCAACTATCTCAAGACGAGTCTCGCCCTCTTTGAGACCGTCATTGGCGCCTCCAGGGATGGAGTTCCAGGTTCTTTCAGTTAATTTTGCAAGACACATTGTTGTTGTTGTTGTTGTCTTCTTCGAGGGAGGGAAGGCCAGACGATAGCAATCATGGAAAATACGTAACCCAAGATGACGATATGGTCACTGTTATATGCCATGACGAAACCAGCATATTCTCTCTCACAATCCAGGCATATCGATTGAAAGGCTGATGCCACGAGGCCCTCATATACTCGCAAAGGCGAACTTCTAGTAGCTCGTATGTCAACCATTCAGCCAAACCGGCCTCCTTTGATACTTGTACCATCGATTTCTGGACCACAGTGCGCTCGACATTGTCCTCCATGGCCATTTTTTGAGGGGTTTTAATATAAATGTGCTGCCGTCTAGTTTCTTGTTGCATGTTCGCTCGTATTGGAGTCTACCAAGACTTGAGGAGAGAGAGCTTATGATGATTGAAGTCTGTATATATTATAATTTTGGCATATACCAGTCCAATTCCAGGAGTGCGTTCAGTCGAGTATTTCCGGATAAATACTCAATCACTGCGACTTCCCATGGTTGACGGGTGGCTACAGAGAGCTCTGTGTCAATGATGAGTAGGCTGTAGGGAGGCATGCTCTCTTCTTTGCTGAAGTGATGAGAGAGGGAAGGGAATCTCCGACCTGATGTTCAGAGTGTTTTGATAGGATATCGTTGGTGCTGAACAAAGTGGCTTGGAAGACGCTTGACTTAGTCGATGGGCTTGAGGGCTGAGGTCACCCTGCTCAGCATTTAGTGTAGATATCGCCGTTGAAAAGCTCAGGTAGTCTAGCTGAACATTTGCACTGCTTCCATTCCAGCAGTCATTAAGTTCCTGCATGGAATAGTCCTTTTGAGTGACTACGCTATTATAGTATGCATCGAAGACTTGAGTATAACTGGCAAACTTATGAAGAATTGATCGTGACTGCTGCTCAGGACCGCTAGCATATGGATGCCCTTGTCTGTGATGGCCCCAGCAACTGTTCTTGCGTCAGTTCACGCATCTCCCACGCGACCCGGATGATCATGTCTTAGAAAGTTCTCCTCGTCTCGAATGATAGCGATGAATAGTTGGGCATATAGTCCATATTCTAGGCTACAATCGAAGATACACAGAAGTCAAACGGGAGAGAACCATGCGTTTTGCTTCCCAACTTGGAATTGTGCGATAACTGGACTTTCATATGACGATTGGTGGTCTGTGAAGGTGATACCAGTCATTACTAATTCTTGGTGGGAAATTCGTCTACAGTTGAATTCTCACAGAAACCGTTGAAGACATATGTCGTCTTCAGCTGGCCATACCGGTATATCCTTCCTTCAGCCTAGTCTTCCCAGGACACTTTCCACCAAGGTTCACTCCGAATAAGCACATTAGCACTTTGTAGATTTAGACCTTGACCTCCAGCTCCTCGACTCGCAAGAAGGCTGCGAGGACGAGGACAGGCATTGAAGTTGATGATAGTGGCATTTCTATCATCCGGATGTAACCGTCCATCGTAATGGAAGATCTCCAATTTACATTTATTGTGCTGGGAAAATGCGTCAAGCCTAGCATGGAGTGTATAATATAATAATAATAGGGAATAATGTATCAAGAGCTCGTTCGCTCTCTTGCTCCTAGTCTGGTCTCCGTTTTGCGTTAATAGGTCCTGCTCAAGTATCTTGAACAGAGACTGCTCATCGAAATTGCCCAGGGCTGCTTGATAACGGAGCCCTGCTTGCAAACAACACTCATCCTCTCTTCACGAGTCTTAGTGGCTTGAGGAGGCACTGAAAACTCACTAAGCATGTGTTGCATTCTAGCATCAACATGCTCTGTTGTTGTCAATCCTGAGGGGACAGAAGTACAGTAGCTACAGTCTCTTTACCAGTAGCCAGGTGTGTGAGAGCATCAGCAAGATCGTAGAATTTGGCACGGGCGAACAGCAATCGTGAAATGTGGAGGGTAGTGGCGCTATATATATCTCGGACAATGTGATCGTCCTCTTCATGTGGTTCTTGTCTAGCCAGTGGGTGTAGTAGGAACTCACGTTGGGCGTCTTGAGTTTTGTTGCTTAGAGATGTCTGAAAAGATGATATGCGCGATCTTATCGTCGATGGGCACAAGTTTAGAAGAAGAGAGGGGACAATAGAGGGGAGGCCGATCTTGCAATCTTCGAAGTGCTGCAGTGACAAGGAATTCAGCATTCGTGATCTTGCTCAGGCTCGTCGCATTTGACGTGGCCGAAATAGTTGCGCGGCCATTCAGTTCAGGGCCAGCAAACAGCTCGTGCTATTTTGTCCTTTCTTCTTAGTCTTGCGTTTGAACAGAGGTAGTGATTTCGTCACCAGTGTTGGCGAGTCCATGATGTCAATGGAATCTCTATAGGACCTGTAAGATCGGAATGGTGATCATATACTTTCTTTACACAAAAGACTGAACGTAGAGGTTGTGTATGCGGAAATACTGGAGGAAATTCGTTTAACAGTGCATGGGTGTCTTCACCAGAACTCGGCTTGCAAAGCAAGCATAGCATCGTCATGGCACATCATATCCGATTCCACGGATTTGAGGAGGCTATTGAAATCCGCCGTGACTTGTTGTTGCAGTACCTGATTGAATCTACACACAGCCGGTCCGCGTCGCTGTCCACTAGACTCGTGATCTCGACCGACTCTCATGATTCTAGTCGGCTTCACTCGAATGTCATATCGATGTATAATTATAGTTTCAGAAAAGGATCTGACCTCGCTGAGGCATGCAGAAGAAGTGTCATGGTCTTCAACATGTACATGAACGTGAGAGACGAGCTTCTGTATTATGGTTAGTGATTATATGACTTTATGCCACAGTCGACTTACGGTGCAGAAGATATTTACATTCCTAACCCCTGAAAAGGCATGGTATATACTTGCGAAGTAAGAATGGAACACCTAAAATCATCTCGCAATAGCGCGAGGCCACTAAGCGACACACAGAACTTAGAATATCGATATCTGTAAGATCGAGGTTATCAGTATCGGTGTCGGCGGGATGTTGGTCCTTAAGTTAGGTTCCCTCAAGGCCTTGGTCCTTAGGATCAGTGTCCATGTGGTCCTGTTCCTCGAGATCGGTGTCAGCATTGCTGGCGACACTGTCAGAGCCTCGAGGATAATTGCTGGTGATGGGGTCAGCGACGCCAGCTGGGCGAGGCCACCACCTCAGCACAAGAGTGTAGAGTGTTTCTCGAGTTTGAACTCCTTAGTCTCGAAGACGATGTTGGTGTTAAGCTCGTCATCTGCAATTGCCTCATCATAACAGACAGATGTTTTACAAATTGAACAATAACCCGCCACTCTGATCACGGTGAAGACTGGAAGTTTCCTGCACAGCGTTCATCTGACCCAGTTGCTGTAATGATACCGTCTGGCTGCTCAGCTGTTGCAAAATGGTCCCCCTATATGCGGGGACACGCCCTTGCCGAATTTGCTCCTCTGGAGATCGTACTGTGAGATCTGGCCTATTTTCCCTTTCTTGCCGAGAACTAGGAAGATTTGCCTGCGGCGGCGAGGTGCTGACTTTGCACGTACAATCTGACGTCTGCAGCCAAGGTAAGGGTGATATAGTAATGCCAGTATATAGATATAGAATGCTGTTAGACGAAGGAAAGATGGAACATACTGTTTACTCTTGGGTTCTTGCCGCCAGCCATACGAGGCTGGTACCGAGGCAGATGCTTGTAGGCCCGAGTTCCGATGTTGGCGATGGTGGCGTGATATGGGTGAAATCCACTGACACGGTTGTAATGAGAAACATTTCTGCATGTTGGTTCGCATCCGCTGTACTGGGTAGATCACCTCGGTTTGATGAGATGAAACTTGCCCAGAGTATCAGATTGTCTATCATGCTCTAACGAGCTGCCCTGGTTCTCCTCCGAGACGCTGTGGGCGAAAATTAACCCCAGCTCCATGTGATCAAATTTGAACGGCTGATAAGGCCGCATCACCTCTACAACCATCTCCATTACCGTTTCCAAATTTCTTCGGACGTTTTCATATACTGTGGCATCCTTCATGTAGTCTAGTCGCTCGACATGGCGAGAGCGACTCCGTGGCTACCATCTATGGCTGCTCGGAGAGAGATTCATTGTATATAAAGACTTGATGATGGCGATACCAAAGGAATATTTGTCTTCATGAGCAACTTACAATAGGAAGGGGTCCAGGAGAACTGAAGATAGTCTAGTATGGCGATGCATCGAAGTAATCTTCATAAGAAGATCATGTCCCAGCTCGCTGTTTCTGTCAACAGCCTCAAAAGCCTGGTCATTCAACAAGGAAATGTTGTCCTCAACCGCCTGGGCAACTACATGCCGCAGACCTCGGTTGTGATCAACTGAGTTGCTCCTGGGTTACTGGCGATGAGGTGCTGAGATGAAGAGTCAGCGTACAATGTTCGCAATAAATGAGAAAAAGATTTTGTTTATAACATACTAATAGTATAGTAAAAGAGAAATGACGTTGTGAACAACTGCTTTAGTGGCCAGGCTCTGTTCGGAGGAAAACAGGACCACGAACAAAGACAGTCATTTCTGCCCATGATGGTCTCCAACAGGGTGCAAGTCATGACCCAATTTCTTTTCGATCATGGCCGTGAATCTTTCCATCAGGATACTTTTCCTGAATGGTGGCAGACTCAAGGTCTGGGGAACCCAGGTCCTGGTCGCTCATGCTCAGGTGTGCAATGACAATGTTAGTTGCGCCCTACTCTCCCCGCATAGATTTGGGAGATCTTTGTGGATGATGGGTTCAATTTCCATCAACTATGCTTTCTGGCACTTCCTTTTAGATAGCTGAAGGGCCTTTGTCAAGTATCGTTGTCGTTAGATTCAGTCGTCTGTGGCTTATAGCCATATGCGTTTGCTACAACCACGCGACAAAAATCAAGGCCAGTTTCAGCCGGTCATGTCCTTGTCTGTCTGGTGAAGATGTTCCTTGTTGGTGTATAGCCGCGATTTGGTGGTTATTCGGGTTGCTTATGAAAATATTAGCCGCCAAGTTATTAACGTCTAGCTATATATAGTAGTGACTTACGGTAGCAGGGAGGATTGTTAGCTTTAATTTGAGCCTTCTTGTGCTTTAGGTACCTCCGACTTGGGTCGAAACGGGATTACACACTCGAGGGATTGCACCACCATTCTTTTGATTGTCAGAAGGTTAAAGTGGACTTCAATAACTAAACCATTCTCTTTATGAGCTGGCCGTCCAGCGCGGCTGATGCCCGCGTACTCGTGGAAGTTGAAATGATTCGAAGTGTCACCCCTGGCGCATCCAAGCGGACTCTGTGATGTGGTAAACTCTCGTCCCAGTTCTCCGGGTTGACCTTTCGGGTCACTTCACCACTGGCGGCGGACAGTGGGAGACTCAAGTCCGGCGGGTGAGAATCTAAGTCCCCGAAGGAGAAGGTCACGGAGTCTCTTGACTGGGGGATTGACATCGAACTTTGATGTGGGACCGGAGAGTGTAAAGTCTCCTTCACTCACGGTAGAAAGCTCTGTAATAGGTGCAACCTATCACGGGGGTGCTAAGCGGGTAGTTGCTCATTGGGGGATATGTTGAGGAAGCGAAAGGTGTCATACTCCTCTGTCTCGAATCTCGATGTGAGAAGAACGTTGTATAGAGGTGACTGAGTATATATTTGTATGTATATAACATAAGGTCTGATGTTATGTTGTGAAGGAAATTCTGTCTCTGGTCGGGGGATATGGTAGAATTTATAGTCAGAATGAAGGCCTTGATTTCTTTCTATTTACCCAATATGAGGTCCTTCGATAATTGATTGTTGAAGCGATGCTAAAGTTAAATAAGCTGCCTAAACAATCACATGCGTTATCATGGAGACCGGACAATAGCATTGATGTTGGCAAGCAGACTCATACAAACATAGTGCCCCTGATTGTCAATGGCAAAGCAAAGGAGCAGTGCCAAATAACAAAGGCCTTCAATCTCAAGTCGCAAAACACGCTGCTACGTCTGCGGTAACTTGTAGTGAGTTATGGTCATTTGTGAGAAGTTATGATGCGCTATGATGATTCTATGGTAAGTTTGACAGGCCTGTGTAGGCGATATATTTTGTCGCTGTTTGGGAAATCTCAAATTTGCGACTCTCAGAGCACTGAGAAGCGGACAGCGATAGTTCAAGTACTGAAAATGTATTTTGTATGACGCCAGCTCCTCGATTTGGTGATAGTCTTCTAAAATGCCTTCTCTTCCCCCCTTGCCAATACTCTACAGAGACTTGCCCATAAACTTTCTCTTGGTAAAGCTCAACCACCACTTGCTAGGCTTAGTCTCGTCCTCATCATACACTCTAGCGAGTAATCGAGAAGCAAGCTCCTGTCGAACCTGCGACATATATTGCTTGAGCTGCTCCGCTTCTTGTCTGTCCCTGGGGGGCTCGTACATCTACACTCAAACATTAGCAAACCGGCCAATTTGTCGTGCTTTTAGGTTTGGCAAAAACACACCTGGTTGAGGGGCCACGCAGGGTCTCCAGGAATAGCAAAGTTAAGGTCAAGCGCCAAGTTCAAAACATCCTTCTGGGCATCACGCAGAGAAGCCTGAGGTCGGATCTTTGTCAGACAATCGCTGACAAACCAGATTCCATACACGAGCAGACGGTCGGCAGGGCCTTGGATCTCAAAGTTTCGGAAGAATGTGTTGGCGCGGAAGAGGGCGAGGACCTCGTCGAGGATATCGTAGCTCTCGCTGTCGGGGTCGGGAGACTCGTTGGCCGGCAGAGGCGGCGAGGGGTTAGGCAGGGTGTAGGCAGGGCCTCTGGTCTTGGTACGGAGAGGGAGGAGAGGGAAGTTGCCGATTATGCGGGGGATGTTGGGATCATTGTTGAAAACGGAGTTGTATGCCTAGAGAGGTGTTGTTAGCTTGCTTGGTTGATATCGTGAGATGCGGTGATGCAATAGGAGATGGTGGAGTGTGCTTGTGTAGTTATTCGTGAAGTATTGGTGTTTGGTTTGGACATACCGGCATCTTGAACAGCAATTAACAGACCAATTCCAGTATATCAAAGCTGTTTGGGAGGGAAATGGACAAATCGGCGCAAGATACGGGCTTGATGCTGCTGAGTTGCGCTTCGTCACCGGCGGGGCTACACCAAGCTCACGAAGCTCACTCACTCGATTGGTGTGGGGCAAGGCTGGCAGCAGAAAGCAAAGTTGATGCCTTGTTCGACAGATTGTCAATCAGGCCACAAGCAGCGATGATGTGGCGCAGCACGTGCGCCTCCCTTTTATGGCTGCCTAACGCCAGGGATGACTCCTCACGTGAATTCGCTGCTCATTCGCGCCGATTAGCTCCGCGACGAATCACGGTGGCGACGCGCTTTTTCCCTCGTCCCGCGTGCAGATTCTTCCTGGCGCAGATGCAGGTCGTATCCACTAACAACTCATACCTGAGAGTGAGAAAAAAAAAAGAGAGGCCTTGCCTTGGTTTCACGCCCTAAGTGTGATTCATTCAGTGTCACCGATATTTCCTCCTTCTCTCCTCTCCCCCTCCTCCATCTTCTTTTTCTCTTTCACTGAAGAGTTCTACTCTTTACCAAGAGTTGCCTTGTTCTTCTTTTTGCTCATTTCCTATTGGACGCTAAGAATCTCCCCTTTTTTTTGCTTTTTCCGTCAATCCTTTTTGACAAGGGCGACGCTCGTGCCAGACGCTAGCGGAGAGCTTGTCACTGGAAAAGACTGGAGATAAACAGGCGCAGGGAATCCTTAAGGTCGCGTCGCAGAACCCAAGGCTCGCTCTACAACAAAGACTGGAGAGATTCGTCCGGCTTCAGGCAACCAACAACCGCTCAAAGAGTCATTCAAAGGAAGGCGAGTACAGATCGACTATTCAATCATCGGATGCTTGCATTTGAGTAAGTTTACGCTATTCTTCTGTTCTTTTCCCCCTCTGACATCAACGATTATCTTCCTCCCCCAACACAATCCATTTACACGCAGCGCTAATCAACCCTCCTTCGCGACAGTTCTTTCTTTGGCAACGGCAGCTTTATCGGACAGCTGCGCAGTTTGGTGGACATGGCGACCTCACAACCTTCCTCTACCTCTTCGACTTCACCGTCGCGCAACGGTAACGCCAACGGTGTATCACTGGACACAACGCCCTGCACTTCGCAAGCGCCCATGGTCGCCCCGCGAAAAAGGCGTCCGCAGCGCATCTACCGGCCCGCAAAGAACTCGCTCTACGATATCTTCCAGCAGCACGCCGGCACATCGCTCTTTGTGCGACCCATTTGCTGGACGGATTTGCACGCTCAGCTACTTGGCGCGAGATGGGAGGAACTGCCGCCATGCGATACACCTCACCCGTCAGCGGCCCCAGGCACGCCACCATCGCGAGGACACTTGAGTCCATCGAATACCATCATCAGTCTTAGCAACGCGCTCACGCAGATTCTCCTGCCCGACCCACTGCATCCTATTCTATCATCAAACGCTGTCAAGTCGGTTCTCAACACGCTGTGGCCTATACCTTTCAACAAGCCGCAGTACCTGCCCGAACTCCATCTGTACTTTGGCGGTCGCGTTTATCGTGATGCTGTACGCGCACAGCTTATGTGGAATTATCCCTCTGAGGAGGCAAAGTCTTCATACTCTTCATTCAAATCAGTGTCAACGCGACCCGCTGAATCGTTCAACATCTCAACACAGTCTTCGCCAAACTACAGCCCCGCTAACCTACCCATGATCTGTTACATTGGCAAGACTCAATTGGCCTCAGTCCGAAACAACCTTTTTCGCGTCGCTTCTGGACCTGGACGAACATGGAACGAGCCCGTGTTTCGCCTCCAGCAACTGCGAGCCCGTATCCTCGTGCCATCAAATTCCGATCACGATGCTCATTTTGTGGGCGTCTTTCTAGGGATGGCGCAGAAGCACTTCTACCCTACCCCACCTATCAGTGGCAGACGCGACTCGCGCATTTCACCAGGACAGGGCATTCCTCCAAGCCCCAACTTCCACGATATCAAGTTGAAGATTCTCACCCACGACATTGATACGTCTGAGTTTATTGTCTACACTGGTCACATCACAAAGGAGTTCTTGGAGAAGTTCCACGATCCCTTCAAGGCTCCAGCTGACGATGACGACGCTATTGTTTCTGGTCTCAAGATTGAGTACACAAGAGTTCCCATCTGGCCAATTCTCGGACTCAGAGAGAGACTGGGCAAAGCTCTAGGCCAAGAGATTGTCGGGACATTCAACCCAGATGAGATAGAGACATGGGAGAAAGACCCCGAGAAGCCAAATGGCGAGAAGCGCAAGCGAGAAGTCCTCACCGAGGTCGTCAGCAGTAGCTACGAGGAAGAGACCGAGGAAGAGCCAGCAATCGTTTCCAAGAAACGCTGTCTCAACGAGGGCACACCTGTGGGCGTGGTGATGTGAGAGCAAGCTACATGCAGCGTATGTATGATATGAAACTCAGATGGGATGGATATACCCCCACGGTTTAATTTTTGAGGACAACAGGACGCATTCGGTATACACACACAATACACTTTGGCTGGGGCTGGACTGTCTTTGGGGATTGCATGAAGACTCAAATCTGCCTCGCAGGCACGCATGACATGGGCAACGGCGCAGGGTTATCAGATAGTTGACGGCGCAAGGGTCAGGACATCAGGGTATGTATGAGCAACAAACAAACAGCATTTGGCTTTTTGGGGACTGGTTATGAATTGAGCTTTCAGAGGGGGGCTGAACTGAGGGATAGGGTTAGGACATGTACATATGGCTTTCTGGTGGTTTTGATCTTTTCTAGCGAGATGGTCTGCGTTTGATCACGAATTCAATGACATTTTCTTGAGCTGGCTTTAACTCTTTTGATCTCGGTTGCTGTTTGTGGTTATTCGCGGGGTAGAGCATTTCTGACCATTAGTAGGCTCAACACGAGCCCTTCAACTTGGAAGCCAACTCTCTCAAGGACCTACTTAGTTGTCAAAGAGGAACACATGTCTATTCTTTTCACTTTAACCTCACGGACTCAATCCGAACCTCGGAATGCTGCTCGACTACACCATCTTTTTTACTCTGCTCACAAGAATGCGGAGATATTTGAGTTTTCCTCCATACCTTGGTCCGAAGTTGCACCTGCATATCTTTAGTGTTCTTTTTAGGAATGGTATCGTGAGAGCTTCCTAATTCGAACATCGGAGAGTGGTTGCGCGTGTGATACGGAGTACATCAGCGATTATTAGTTCAGGTGTATCAATCTCCAGGTATTGATCGCAAATGTTACCACTTCAATACAGGCCTGGTTATAGTACCTAGTCTCTGGATAAGGCTGAGTTGGGCTGTGCTGGGTTGGGTTTGGGCTTTTACCCGGTAAACAAGGTTTTTTTTGTTTCTACCGCTTAATTTGTTTCAATGGTAACAGGCTGGGGTCTGGTTATGTGTGATGACGTTCTTGATGCGAATGTGAGAGCAGGGGGATATTGAGTCTATACGCGGGATAGAAATGGCAGATAATGAAGGGATTACTCAAAAGAGACATTAATCCCTCATGAGAACAATAACATCCTCGTATTAATTAAGTTGCAGACCGACATTTGTAATGCTCCCCGCATTCTTGTTGCTGTAGTCTATTCCCCGGACTTGAAGAGGTCACCAGGGCCTAAACAAACTACGGCAGACAAGGGTCTCATGGAAGGGTCCGGGGTATGAACTCTTTTCGACTTACACCAAAATGCCAATGCCAATGCCATCTTTGATCAAACTACGGTATCGTGCTTCCCCACCATCTATCTATTCTGTCGTTCCTCCGGGACCACCATCTTTTTTTCTACTTCTCCACCAACCACAGCAAACACACTATCACAAAAACCATTCAGCTGATCGTCGATCCCCAACCCCTCTCTCTCCACGTGGATTAACAGGGACGAACGTTTTCTGCCTCGGTCTCGTAGAGTCAGACAAGATGAAAAACTTGGAAGATACTGACTTGTATTTCTCTGGCAGCTGATTTCCCCACGGGGAAGCGGGGACTATCTTCGGGTCAGGGACTTCTTTTGGGCTGATACTTTTGTGAATACGGCGATGGCTTCCTCATCTGGGAGCATGTCTTTGAGGAAAAGATGCAAGTTCACCGTCGACGTCGAACCGGGGTTGAGAGAGACAGAAAAGTCAATATATTGTGGGATACGTCAAAGCGGGAGGGGACGAGCGCGGTGTTTGCCTGAGAAGTTCAAATTGAGCTCATTTCCCAGGTGAAAATAGGATCAGCAACTCAACTGAGACAACGGGATCAGTATCTGTTGACTCGTTGTTTTGAAACTTGAGAGACTTTAAACTTTGTTGTGTACGGCTCTCTCCGTGGTGGTTTACTTCAGACTTTTTGTTCCGACCACTCCTACACTCTCAGTCTTACAGTTGAGCTTCACAATGAAGTTCACAAGTCTCGTCTCTGGCTTCAGCCTTCTTACGGCCGTGGTAGCTGTTCCAGCTGCCTTCCCTGCACCAGATGCAATTCCGGATCTTCAACCCGTTGAACCAGGCACACCAGCTCTTGAGGAACGAGCTGCCAAAGTCACAGTCGCTGTTCCCTCTGGAACAGTCATCGGCTCAAGTTCTGGCAAGGTTGATTCCTTTAGAGCAATTCCCTTTGCGGATCCACCGACGGGTTCTCTACGACTTAAACCGCCAAAGAAACTATCCAAGCCTCTAGGCAACTTTGATGCTTCAGGACTTGTTGGCCCGTCATGTCCTCAGATGTTCATCTCATCTGGTGCTCAAGATGTCATCTCCAAGTTTCTCTCGGACTTTTTGGCTATTCCCTTCCTTACTCCCATCACTGGTCAGGAGGATTGTCTTACCATGACTGTTCAACGACCAGCTGGTACCAAGGCTGGTGATAAACTCCCTGTGTTGTTCTGGATCTTTGGCGGTGGCTTTGAACTTGGTTCAAGCGCTATGTACGATGGAACCAGTCTTCTAGGCACTGCCATTGACCAAGACCAGCCGTTTATCTAC